ACTTGTTCTGGTTACCTAGTACCGCTCTGACAAAAATATACCACAAATGGGTTGGCTTGAATAAACAGGAGTTTACTCTTGCAATTTGGGGGCTTTAAGTCCAAGTTCAAAGGGCCAGGCTCTAGGGGCTGGGTGAAAGCCCCTCAACCTTGGGCTTCATCTTTGCCTTTTGCTCTTGGCCCACTGAAGCTAGAGGTATCTCTTCACTCAGGCAGCTACTGGCTGCTGAGGCTAACTAGCCCAAGGTCAACAAATAAAACGACACAGTCCTGATGTAACCAAATCACATGGCAAGCCATTAATTTAAGTCCATTGAAATTTCCAAGGTCAGCAGAGCATGGCAAGCTGCTGAACAATGACAAGGCTACATGCAGGGTCCAAGCGTGCCATACATAAGATAGAGACTGTTTCCCAAAGCTTCTCCTTATATGCAGGAAGCAGACCACATTCCTAAGGCAGCTATTCAGCTGCTCCCAGTAGATTTCACCATGGAGTTGATTACCAGTCTCATCATGGGGAATATTACATCCAGCTGCCTAGCCACTCAACCAGGCCCAGCCAAGTTGACACACAAAGTTAACTACCACACCACTAACGAAAATTGACCTCTCTATATCTATTCATTGTTTCCTTATAAAAGAGGTTTCATGCAACATCTGTCCTTATATGCTTGACTTATTTCACTTAGCATTATGCCTGCCAGGTCCATCCATGCTATACTATTGCAAAATGGGCAGGGAGGTGGCATCTTCTGACCTCCTCTAAATACACAAGAGGAAGACGGAATCACTATAAGCAGCCCAAGGCCAGTTCTTATGAGGTCAGACATGCCACCACACTCCAGCCCACTTACTAATATTGACATCAACCGTTCCTCCCACAGCACCCACCACCTCTCTGCTGTGTTTAATAATTCGCTGCAGTGGCCACACAGTACTCACAGATTATGGCTTATTAGGGAGGCAACAGACTACAACTCAAGTTCAAGAATGTGCTCAGTGTCTCTCAGCAGCTGGCCATCTCTCTCAGTCTCTCTCAGTAGCATGTCTCTCTCTCAGCAGCACATCTCTTCCAGAAGCATGTCTCTCTCACCTGACAGTCAGAGAGATTCCTTCTGCCTCTTAGGAGGGCTCATTTTAAGCCTGACAGAGTGACAAAACTAACCAATCCCAACATCAGAATTCTACACACCTGAGAGAGAATGAATTTCCCAGAAGATTACTTCAGGTGGATAACTAACAATCTGTTAGTCAGTTGCTCACCACAAAGTGGGAGTTATAAATACTATGGCTAGAAAAGCCATACCATGGAATTTACTGGACCACAGCTATGTTTCATGGGCTCATTATTTATCTCTATGATTGTGTAGCGTTCCATTGTTTATTCATCACAGTCTGCTTATCCATTCATCTGTTGATGGATATTTCTGTTTCTTCAACTTTTTGCTATTGTTAATAAAGCAGTAGTGAACATTTGTTATGTGCTGTTGAGTCGGACCCAACTCATAGTGACCCCTCCTTGGGTTTCCAAGGCAGTAAGTATCACTATGGAAGTAGATTGCCCCATCTTCCTTCCGAGGAGTGGTTGGTGGATTTGAACTGCCAGCCTTGTGGTTAGCAGTCAAATGCCTTAGGCACTACACCACCAGTATATGTCTTTTTGTCCCTTTATTCTGAGATCTTCAGGATATATGCCTAGAGGTAGGATTACTGGATCAGAGAGTAGTACTAATACTAGTTTTTTGAGAAAGTGCCATATCGTTTTCCACAGTAGTTTTACCATTTTACAGTTCTACCAGCAATGGATAAGGGTTCCAGTATTTCCACATCCTCATCAACTTATTTTTATCTTGTTTTGGTTTTTTATCAGTGCCATTTTAGTCAGGGATAGATGATATTACACTTTAGCTTTGATTTTCACCTCCCCAATGGTTAACGATCGTGAACATCTTTTCATATGCTTGGATGCCTCTTTGTTGAAGGTTCTGTTCATGTCCTTTGCATATTTTGTGACTGACTTGTCTTTTTATTGTTGAGTTGTCATTGATTTCTATAAATATTAGAGATTAAGCTCTAATAGGAAAAATCTTTTCCAACGATTATTTCCCCAAGTCTCTAGGTTACCTATTTATTCTTTTAATAAAGTCTTTTGATGAGTTTTTAATTTTTAAGACGTACCATTTACCTATTTTGTCTTTTGTTCATGTGTAAGCTATAAAGTTTGTTATTCTATTTTTACAGAACATTATGTCCCATAGTTTTCTTCCAGGAATCATATTTTTTAGATTTAACATTTAGTTCTTTGATCCATTATGATTTAGTTTTTGTGTATGGTGTGAGGCATGGAACCTGTTTCAATTTTTCTGCAGGTGAATATCCAGTTTTGCTAACACCATTTATTAAAGAGGTGGTTTATGCCTCAATGAATAGACTTTGACCAGATGTCAATTATTAGTTGTCGATATATGCATTGATTTAATTTTCGGTTCTCAATTCTATCCCACTGGTCTATGTGTCTATCCTTAAACCAGTATCAGGCTGCTTTGATTATAATTGCAGCATAGTATATTTTGATACTGGGGAGTTTGGTGCCTCCTGCTTTGTTCTTTTTCACCAATATTGCTTTGACTATTCAGGGTTTCTTCCATTTCCATATGAAGTTAGTCACTAGTTATTTTATTTCAGTAAAGAATATTGTTGGGATTTGTAGCAGGATTTCATCAAATCTGTAGCTCACTTTAGGTCGGTTCCAACTCATAGTCACCCGTCCTTGGGTTTC